CCCCCCCCCCCCCCCCCCCCCCCCCCCCGCCCTCAGCGCCTCTGGAGGGTGCATTGGTGTCAAAAAATATTTTGTCCCGGAACCCTTGATCCCAGGAGGGAAAAAACGCTCAAGCTATCGGCAATTTCCAAGACGATACAGGAGCCCCAAGTTTGATTACCGGGAAACCCAACAGTCCTCCTTTTCGACCCAACGAAGACGCTCCAATTGTACAGGGCACCGATTGCCCATCTAGTGCCTTCTATTGCCTACTGAGGAAGGTCAAGAATGGGGCACTCTTTCGTCGCACCGGTTTGGTCGTACCCCGACAACAGATGGCTGCGCTACACACGCGTTTGTGCCCAAATTCGTAGGGGATACAACAATCAAACCCCTGGACCTGTGGAGGTAATGGATGCAGATGAAAATCTGAGATCGCAGGCACGCACACGGTATAAGCCCACTGGCAGAACAGAGGAAAACGCCAAACACACACACACACCGGGGCCAGTTATCAAAAATAGCAGGGGCCGAGCCTATTCGACCTGCTGCGCTCCGTTGGTATAGCCACCCGTGCGCCATGGGTAACCTGGCGGGTTGTTTACCGCTGCGTCGAGGGTCCAACTTACTGCTCCAAAACGTGATTACTGTAGACCACACAAGATAACACAACTCGGTGATAACATTTTGGGATTTAAACCTATTGAGTAGCCCGGGTGATAAGTCGATGGTTTGCCAGAAGCGTCCAAAATTATCACCGGGGTGTCGTATTCTGTGGGGGGGTGCTTTCTTATGCGGGTGTATTATCTTGTGTCGTCCACGGTAACGCAAGGCTGTGTGCCAGTTGCTGCTGATGTTCGTGTGTGCATGAGCGGATGAGAATATCCCAACGGGACTGTAGGAAGTGGCTACGCAGATAGAAATTGATAGTCCCCTGGGATGGTTTCATGGTTGATCCACGGGACTCGACCCTGCGGGAGTGCATGCCGTGTCGTGGGACTCTCTCTCTCCCGCCGCGTCCTGATCGTGTCTGCTGTCCTAAATACAAGTGATACCATCATCTTCAACACACAAACATGAGTATAGTAACACTCTAGCGTGTATCCCTCGAGGGAACCCGTGCTGGGGATGAGTGGCGCCGATGTTGCAGCAGAGGCTGCCGGCGTCACCACTAGTACGCAGGGCAGAGTTGACAACCTGGAGAGCAAAGTTTCAGGCCTGACGGACGAGGTACAGCAGCTGGCTGGGCTGCTTCGATCCGCCCTCGGAAAGTTAGAGAAGGAGGGGGAGTCCGGCGGCGCTGGGGTGGGCGCTGTCGTTACGGGCGATGCGCCCACCCGCGGTACCCAGGAGGGGGCACCGCAAAACGAGGGAATCACGCCACCCTCAGACCCGGCGGTTGGGCCGGGTGGCGGACGTGACAGGGGATCGCTCCCCCCAGGTGAGACAACCGAGACATATGGCGGCGGTACCCGTGGTTTTTGCGGATTCGTCGGAGAAGGAGATGGTTTTCACCAGAACCCGTATAGCAAAATGCGTGTGTCAGTGCACGCGCCGCGTCTCGAAGGCGGCCAGGGATTTTTCTCGTGGAGGAGGGTCTTAATCCAGGCTGCTAAAACGGTAGACATGGACGGCCAGTTCGTAGGGGCCACGGAACCCCAGCCGGACGTCGGGGACATGAACAAACCCAAAGCTACGTTGCTGGCAGAGGGGTACTCCGAGGCGCAGATCCACCGCAGCCTCCAAGCTTTCCACTTTCTGTCCTCGGCCCTGGTGAGGGAGCCAGACAAGGCCGTCTTCGGGAGATGTGTGACGCCGAAGCAGGCGTTGGATGAACTCGACAAGGTGCACAACCCGGAATCGCAGGTAGCCACACAGGAGTTGCTCAGCAAGTTTCAGAACTTCGCAATGCCGGCCGACAAAAACCCGACTGAATCGCTTATCGCCATGGAGCAACTCGCAAGTCGTCTGAACGAGAGAGGGGTCAGGGTCGAGGCTTCTTACATGCTGTCGCTCTTCCTTTCGGCCCTAGAGGCTGAGTACGACCATGCCAAATTGACTCTGCAGTCCGCACCGACTCTGGACCGGGGAGAGGTCATCAGAGTGGTGGGCTCCCAGCACTCCAGCATCAAGCAGGGGAAGAGCCATCGGAACAGCAACCGCAACAATCACAAGGCGTCTGAGCAGGGATTACTCGTGAGCGCCGACAATGGCAGCGGCGGAAAAGCTGGTCGCAACCGCGGCCGCGGGGGACGCGGCGGTGGCGGAAACGGCGAAAATGGCGGCAGCGGCAACGGCAACGGCAACGGCGGTGGAGACGGCAGCAGCTACGGCGGCCGTCGTAGGGGCCGGTGCTACCGGTGCAAGAGGCGAGGGCACCAGTCGTTCTCGTGCACTACCCCCATCGCCGACTTCATGACCCAGTGCGAGAACTGCGACGGGTATGGACACGATAAGAGCAAGTGCCCGTCGACGAAGGACGAGGAGGAGGCGAAGGGCGAGACGGCGGTCATGGCGGTTGCGGTGGCGAGCGATGACGAGGAGCTGGATGTGGCACGTGAGGCCTTG